GGGCGGGCGGGGTGGGGAGGAGAATGCTTATCCACGTCCGCAAAGGGCCCTAAGATCCGCCCGTGGGAGCCGAGATGCCGGGGAACTAGCAAGGGCTGTTCGCGCCGCGCTCCTGCTCCTCTTCCCGCTCGGGCGCCTCGAAACAAAGTGCGGCCGCCCCGGCCCGCTCTCTGCTCCCACCGCGCGGCCGCCGCCGAGACCGCAGCCGGCGACAGGTGGAATAACTCTTTCCTGCCTGGAAAGTCTTAGGAATGCTAAGAATTTATTTAATGCATTTATTTTGGAGAAAGATAAAAGTCACTGTGCCTGGCTCAGGGTCCCCGGGAAGGCCCTTTGATCAGGCTGCTTGGAACTCTTCTGACAGCCATCCTCTTTCTCTTGTTCTTTAACCAAATATTTTATGTAACCCTCTTGATATTATAATGAGTTGGTGTATCAAAGAGCTTGTGGTTAAGCAAGCCAGTCTCCCTAATTAATTTCCCGCTGCCTTCTGTTTATTTTTGCTTTAGCTACTACCTCAAAGAATCAAAAGGCAGTAGACGGTGGCTGCTGTTCCTGGAAGGTAAGCCGCAGTTCTTTTTCACTTCAGGACAGTGCCAGCATGTTAGCCTCCATTGTGAATGAAGAGGTGGGGTGGGGGAAGCTACCCAGCTGCTTTCTTCCAAGGCTGAGCAGAGCCTGCGTGTGCCTGTGTGCAGGGGCACGTGCCCCAGCTGTCTCTGTATAACCAACACCTCCATCCTTTCCACCACACGCTTTTTCGTGCCTCTGCTGCCCAGGGACTTGGTGAACCTGCTAGGGCCCTAACTACCCACCTAACTAGTCAAAGCGACTTGGCCCAGCGGCTGCTTTCGGCCACTTATTCTGCCTGCTGCTTGCACCATTCATCTCAGCCTGGGAGTGCCCGGTGCCACTGCGCAGGTTCACGTCTGTGCGCCTTGCTTTGCCACTCTTTCCTCAAGCAAAATGACAGCAAGTACTGGTGACAATTATTTTTTCTCGTGGCACAGGTGGATGGTACTGCTTCAACAGAGAGAACTGCAATACCCGCTATGATACAATGAGGAGGCTGATGAGCTCCAACGAGTGGCCTCTCACCAAAACTGGTAAGTATTCTTTCTTTGATCAGGGTGGGAACACTGTTATCCCTTGCACCAACTCTGCAGACAACTACAAAAAGACTGAGCGGGAGGGGAAGGAGGGTTTCACTGGACTTCGTAGTGTAGCATACGTGGGTCCCTCCCAAAGTACAAGGCACTTGCTCATAACTGCTCCTGCTCAGAAGTTAACACGTGTAATAGGCACTTATTTGCACATGAATTAACTGTACCTTTACCAGGCAAATTACTAAAGCGTGTTTCCACGCCTGCCCCAGCACAGTACAGTGCAAGCTCCAATGTTCCCCTTTCTCTAAGAAAGTTTACCTCTTACCCCGGCCAAAGTGGCAGGCCTTGCTTACAAGCCTTCTGTCCGGACCAGCTGTCACTTCCGTTTGCTGCCCCCAGGATTGAGATTCTTGCTTCTGGGAGATATATGTAAACTACAGGACGGTAACGACTCAGGCCACTGCAGACCTTTGCATCCTTGAAATAGAGGAGGAATATCACCTAATTACAGCATTTGCCAGACCCGTGGTCTCCTCGCCCCATATCCTCTCCCCAGCAATGACAGGCATCGGCTGCTGCAGAAGAAGGTGCCAGAAACTCCATAGTTGGCAGATGTGGAAAATCTGCCCCTTTGAAAGTCGTCTTCTAATTCCTAATAGCTAAAGGTTGGGCTAAGGCTTGAAACCAAAGGTTTTATGTCCCCTCTCATACTTCTTTAATATTAGTTCATAACTCTGGATGTCCTTACTGTTTAGATAAATGTCAAATCCTTGTTTAAAACTTGCTAAATTCATGCCCTCAACAGCACCTGTGGCAATGAGTTCCATGGTGTAATTATGTGTGACGAGAACACACGAATAAGTGGCTTGATCAGTTCTGAATGTACAAGTAACTTCCAAAATGTGGTCCAGGGTATATATTTGATGAGGAGAACTTGAGGAAAGGGGGCTCCTCCCCACCCGAAGCAGCTATGGCTTGGAGGAGACCATGGCAATTATGCCAAGGAGACAGAGCTGGTGCAGAGGCACAGTGCTGTCCCCACTGGCCTTGACTTCTTGGGATTAGTATGGTTGTCAGTTGTCTGCTCAGTGTATTGACATACTACCCTCCGTCCTGCTCCCCAGTAGGATGCTGGGGGTCTCCAGAGTGGGATCTTCGCACTGATTTCCTCCCAGAGACCCCTTCAAAGGGTCAGGAAGAGCTGAGCCTTTGTTGGCATTTCCATCTAACATGCACTTCTAAACAAACAGCAGGATCTGTTAAGACAGTGCGTGTTTAGTGGTACACACCGGAAGTGTCTACACATTCATTAATGTGCCATAGTTACTGTGCATTAAGTTTAGTGCTTATGTAACCATGTACTGAATCAATGCGCAGTAAGTGGCACTACTACAAGGCAGTGCCAGCCCACAGCATTTTAATGACGCCAACAGCGCAATAGCCTAATACTACTACACAGTAGCGTATTAGCATGGTTTCTGCCCTGCTGGCTACTGCTCACTTAGTGTCTCGTGTAGACACACCCACTGTCACTTAGCGAATCTGGCCTTCATTGCCTCCTGTGCCTAACCTGTGTTGAGTGCAGGGGACAGGCAAAGGCAGCCCAGGTGGCACTGTGGCTTTGATTCTTTACCACCAGCTGATGTGCTGTTCTAAATCATGCCACTGGCCCAGGAGAAGTATAGCTGCGCTAGATCAGGCAAGTGGATTTGCTTCTGCCTGCTCCATGCCAGCAGTAATCTCTCTCCACACGGAACTTTCCATTGGCCCTTTTCAATCAGAACGTATCCGCTTTGCACTGCCTGCCTGGCACGAGTAGATCGTTCCAGGGGCCGTCGGCTCTTGCGCTCTGCTCCCTGTAGCATTGGAAGCAATTCCTGCAGTTTTCTTTTCTTGTTGTCTGACGTCTCACGTATCCACATTTTTATTTCATCACTCCCCTTTTGCAAAATGGGGTGAATGATGCTTGATGTTTGGAGCTCTAGATAGATTTCTAGAAAAACAGATTACCCATCCTGTAGGTCCTTGAACAAAAGACAGATGTCATCTAAGTGCAGAGTTAGGATTAGCACTCTCCTCTCTCCTTTATGCATGTGTGTGTGCATGTCTTTCTCCTCTGTGCCTCTTTCCTCCTAGCACTTGTTTTCTTCTTTGGGTTCTTTAATTTTATTCTATCTTCTCAGAGTGTGGACATCACTGTCTTTTCAAATCTCCCTATGACTCTTTCCTTCTGTGTCTCCGGGCTTCCAACCCTTTGCTCTGTCTGTGAGCCAGCTTCCGGGCAGTGTTTTTCAGGAAGTTCAGCACAAAAGATAAAGCACAAGGTGTGGGGAGTGAGGGAGGTTATACATCGCATTGTACTTCTCTAATTCTGGGCTGCTTTGGGGGACAACTTAGCTCCTGGCATGTCTGAACAGTGTTTGGGCAGCCTGCACAACTGAGAATGGGCTTCTCTGCACACTGACGGATGTTGCACTGGGGCCGCTTTGTGTTCAGCCCTCTGTATGCTATCCCCTAGCTCTCCCCCAGTGTACCTCTGTGTCCAGTGTCAGCCTTTCTGGAGCTTTTGGAGTCAGAGCCCCTCTTAAAACCAGTCTCAGTGTAAAGGGTGCTTGCCTCATAATGGTTTTTGTACAGTATTCCTGGTCTGTCAGTGAATGACTTGCAAGACACATGCACTCCCTCACGCAGTGTGTTCGGGTCTGCTTATTTGTCTACGAAGGGATGGGTTCTATCACTGGGGACTTGAAACTGCTGTGGAGAGGAGGCCAAGCTGCAAGTTTCTGGGCCTCCCATGCTCTCCTATCTGGCATTACACAGGCTCCACCTTCCTCCCCCTGGTCCCCCCATCCACCACTGCATAACACCCCTTGGGAAACCACAGGAATTATCTGTCTGAAAACATAACATGAGGGAAGAGTTTATTGTACTTTCAGCATCTTTTATTGTGCTTTAGGAGATGGAGTCAACATCATGAATCCCACACCTCCATGAACCACAAGGTTATTCAATCAGCATAGGACTAGGAGCCTCTGTCTTCTCTTGCATTATTTATGAGTTAGGATTAGCTATAAATCTAGGTGTCTCTCTGTCACAGTGGTTATTAGTGCTGGACTTCACCTGCCAGAACTTTGGGTTTAGGGAAAACAGACATTTTGTATGAGAGCTTTAGCTTTTCTCCTCCGGCCTGAGATAAAAATGCTTCTCAAAGTGTTGGCCTTCACCTCTGGCATGAAGCAAGGGCTGAAAATTGCATCCATCCAAATGCAGGCTTAAAAGAGCTCCTCTCTCTTCCTCCCGCTGCACTAATGGCTTTCCCAGTGTATGTTCCTTTTCTGTCTGGCCAGAGCCCCACATCAGGCTTGTTCCTGTTGCTTTAAAATCTGACTGTATTTAAAATGGGATTGTATTGCTTTAAAATTGGATCAACTGTACATTTTCTTTCCCTCCATCTACAGGAACTGGGATCCTGTCATCACAGCCAGAAGAAAACCCGCACTGGTGGAATGCAAACATGGTGTAAGGAGGGGAACAAACTTTACTCTAGAAATGATGCCTGGCAGGCTGGAGGAGAGGAGAGGAGGGGAGGGGATTACACCCCAGACAGGATGTACAGATGAAAAACAAACTGTGCAAATGTAGTTGCCTGCTTTCTAGGCCAGTGAAGGCACAGAGTGCTACAGAGGCGGGTAACATGACTCGCCATTGCCAAGGGGCATTCTTCTACAGTATCCTGCTCCGGCTTCCCTGCGAATGGGCCCAGAGGTGCTTGTGTCCAGCCCAGCTGGAGGGATGGGCCCACCTAATTATGAGGCTCAGGAAAAACTGGGGATATTAGGAGGCCTTAGGAGCCGTCCCCCAAGAAAGAAATTGGAAAATAACATTTCAAAGCCTGTTGCTAGCTAATTCTAAATGGACATGGGATAGAGAGGAAGGTTAGTCATGTGTGCATGTGCAAAGACCCCCTGCAATTATACTGCAAGGGGGGAAAGTAGTAGAGATGGATAACTGCTGTCTGGGAAGGCAAATAAGGGCAGTCTAAGCAGAGACCACGACAAGTTTAGCACATGCACACGGCAGGTGATTTTTCTTAATTTTACAGATGGGGAAATTGAAGCACAGAGGGAGAAAGAAAGTGTCTTGCCTTGACCCCACAGGCAGTCTGTGGAAGAACAGGATCAGAATAAAGGCTTGTGTTTGGTCCCCCAGCCTAGGGCATGTCACCATGAGACAATATGATTGATTTGCATTTTGCTGATTTAGGTCAGTAAATTTACTAAGAGCCAAAAGGGTAAAATGCAGCTCTAACTGTTACTTGTGTTGATCATTCCTGTGAGTACCCAAGTGTCCATTTCACTGGACAATAAAATGGTCCCTTCCCCTCCCTCTGGCACTAAGGTTCCTTCCAGTTCCTTGACCCCAGTGTCATCTCCTCCCTCCCCAGGGAACATCAGGGTTCACATACTTTTCATCTCTTGCAGATTCATCCCCTATTGCTCAAGCGACGTTTGGAGTGGTGCCTCTTCCAAGTCGGAAAAAAGTAAGTGCTGCTGATGGGCTGTTGCTGCCAAACAGACATAACGTATGAAGTGATACAGCCAGATTTGTCTGAAATTACGTGAATGAGGGAAGGGTTTTTTTCCTACTAAGGAAAATAAAAAGTAGCTTCCAGACAACACGACCCAGACTCTTTAGTACTCCATGTCGTGACTGTACAGAGAGACAGACAGGCTGTGGCAACTGGGTGTATCCAGAGTTCCTGCAGTGGCCTTTCCTTTTAGATTAACTTCCCACTCCTCGTACATACTGCAAGTTAGAAAGAGGGGCTAAGGCACCATGACTTATGACACACATCTTCTCACTCTGACCTGGGAGGCTGCACCCAATGGACACGTGGCCCTTTCAGAAAGTCAGCACACACCGGGCAAGACCTGCTTTTGCAGTTTGGCCTGCAAGACAAAAAATGGTGCATCATAATAAGATAATGCTTATTTTTCATCCCCACACTACTGTATCCCTATGTCAACATTGTGACATCGCCCTGGCACACCTTGAGGAGGGATTCCATACGCAGATTAAAGTAAAGGTTTTTAGCTGCCAGCACGTGAGCCGTGCTAACCCAGGACAGTGCGTACTTCAGCCTTATAAGCTAAACAGGATTGATTCTTGGATGCGAGTCCTCTGCAGAAAACCACTCGCTTCCTCTGCTGCATTTCCACTGACCTTACTGGAGTTACTGCTGAGGCATACCAGTATAACAGAAGAATCTGACCCCTGTGCTACAAGCAGTACTGGAGTTTCTGCAGGCTGAATACCTCTCTCTGCCCTGGGGACAGGGCCTGGGCTGGTGGATGCACCATCATTCAACTGAGGCGTACATCTGAGAGCCCGAACACTTATGGACGCCCATGATACTTTTTGCAAGAACAGGGATCAGATTCTAATTTAAATTAGGAGATATTTTGCCTTTCTAAATCCCTCCTGTTGTTTCAACTGGATGTTTTCTTTTTCACTTGGCCTTGCTGTGCAACAGGTAAGCAGCTGCTGCTGTCTCTCATGCCAGTGGTGGCTGTATTTCAGTAATGGGGTGGAAGACATCTGTAATGTACTTTGCAGCCTTGGAAGATGAAACTTTCTGCCTGGTATTCAGGACTGGAATGGCAGGGGATGCAGTAAATCAGGACACAGGTGCACTGGTCAACCTGTGCTAAGGAAGGGTCTCAGGACTTGCCCGACTTGCTTTTATTTCCATCGAAACTAAAATCTTCCATATTTACCAATTTGTAAATATTACTGTAGGAAGGCTCCTTGTGATAGAATACTTTCATGGCAATCTACCTGCCTTTAAGCTCATGAGCATACATGGGATAGAGACAGACTTCTTGGGTTGGATGTCAGACAGTGCTGTTGATGGTGAGCTCTCTTTTCCAGGTGAATATGCCTTCATGGGAGCTCTCATCATACAAGAGGTTATAAAGGAGCTGGTGGGAAAAGGCCTTAGCAATGCAAAGGTGCTGCTGCTGGCAGGAAGCAGGTATGTGCTTGTGTATGCGACCATCCTACAGCAAACAAACAAGGAGCAAGAAGAGGGGCAGAGCACTATTGTTAGGGGAGCTCACAGTGCTTGGCTCCAAGCCTCTGGGGGCAGGTTGTGCTGCCACAAGCAGTGCAGGAGCTCGCATAAGCATCCACTCTCCATCTCTTTTTCTAATAAGCTGCACACAAGGGGATGGTGTAGGAAACCCAGAGGAATTTATTTAAGGAGAAAGAAACTTGCACAGCAAGAGAAGAGAAGGAAAATGTCCCCAGATTTCAAGGCTTTTTCAGTTTTGAGCAGCTGAGTGCCTATTATCTAGCATAATTTTTATTGCAACGTATTTGATGAAGTGAAGAAATAACTTGCTGGCTGTGACTTGTCTATTCCATTTCTGATGGGGTTGATTGCTCAGTGCATTAGAATAGCAAAAGCATGTGGTATGGGAACAAGCGGGCTTGCAGCTGTGTCTTCTCTATGACTGAATTGTGGACCTTATCCTTGCAGTGCTGGGGGGACTGGAGTGCTTCTGAATGTGGATCGAGTAGCAGAACAGCTGGAGGAGATGGGTTATCAAGGAATTCAGGTTCGAGGGTTGGCAGACTCTGGCTGGTTCCTGGACAATAAACAGTATCGTAGAACTGACTGTATTGATACCATAACCTGTGCCCCCACAGAAGCCATCAGGAGAGGAATCAGGTACAAGAAAATATGCTAAACTATCCTTTCCCAAGAGCCTTGGGTGAGGAGAGCTCCTGAGGCAGGCCTCAGACACCTTTCCAGTACTCCTCCAATGTCTACTGCCTCATCCTTTGCTGATGAATTTCTAAAGGAAGGCACAAGCACATTTAAGATGCTTTCCAGAGATTGTGTGACACTGCAGACATACACAATACACTGATGGGACCCGACAGACACAGGTTGTTAAAAAATGGAAACTGTATTGCATCCCTAGTATTGCATCCCTACAGCATGTAGTTGTTACACAAGGGTGCCTGCTGTAGCCAAGGATCATAAGCACATTATGGAAAAGGCAACCAGTCCATCTCCAGAACATAAGGGAGATGCATCGCTCCTCCTTGCCTGCCAGTGGTCATGTTTTTGTTCAGAACCACAGTTCACACCTGCTTGCATTTTTGGCTGCGTCAGGAAAGGCTTGTTCTGTTCTCTGAAGGGCTCTGCAAGTTAAATGTTTGACTCTGCACAGAGGACCTTCCAGCTGCAGCCAGCAAGAGTCCCAGCGTTCTCATGTACAGAATGCAATATCGGAGAACAGAACTGCTGGGTGCAGGGGGGAGGCCTGATGAGATGGCATCATGATAAACCGTCCCTCCCCACATTGCTCTTTCAGGTACTGGAATGGCATTGTTCCTGAACGCTGCAGAGTGCAATTTAAGGAAGGAGAGGAGTGGAATTGCTTCTTTGGCTATAAAATTTATCCCACTCTTCGATGTAAGTGTGTGAAGAAAGATCTCACTGCCCAAGAATCTAAAATGTCCCCTTGGAAGGGTCTTCCTTCAGTGCTGCTAACTTGACAAACACTCTCTCCGTTGTTTTCTTACCAGGTCCTGTCTTTGTGGTACAGTGGCTCTTTGATGAAGCCCAGCTCACTGTAGACAATGTGCATCTAACTGGACAGCCGGTCCAGGAGGGCCAGTGGCTCTACATCCAGAACCTGGGTCGGGAGCTGAGGAATACCCTGAAGGATGTGGCGTGAGTACTGCAGTGCAAAAAGCTGGATGTTATTTTTCTAAGACATGTCTTGCATTAACGGTTCCTGGAAGGCTCTCAGGTGCTCTGCAGATCCCAGTGTGATAAATCTGGTATCTGCCCAATTTACTTCAGGAATCTTGTTCTTATGACTTCTGAAAAGAATGAGTAAGTGGAGTTCAGCAGCAGACTTCAGGCTCCAAACTCCCTGTGCTAATTTTAAGGATACCACTTTTCTACTTCCCATTTCCAAGTGAGGCCAGAGATTCATCTCTCATCACTGTTGCCCACCATCACCCTGTTAGGGATGTTTTAAGAAACACAGATCACACAACATCCAGACAACAAGTGAAAGCATAAAGCAAACCCTCTAGCCTCCCTTAGATACCAGAACAGTAATTTTTCAGTCCCCAGAGCAGCTATGAGATGCACTCAGGTAATCGGGTGGTGGTGTTCCAGACAGTCTGAAACCCTCACCCTGCTCAAGTCTTCAGGTTCTTGTTGATCCCCATCAACAGTGGCATCTGAGCAGTCTACCAGGAACAGCACATGCCAGTCGCTAGCTAGTAAGGGGTGGATCCGTGAGAGTATCGTGCTGCTGTCTTTACAACAGGCCTCATCCTTGTTCTTTCTCTTCAGTGCTAGCTTTGCTCCAGCCTGTTTGTCCCACGAGATCATTACACGCAAGTAAGTATTGCTTTGTGGAGTCCAAAGGGCTAGGAGCTAACATGAAAAGGAACTGGTAGTCCTGACCCCACTGATACCATCTGTATGGTTTGATTTTTTTTTTTGCAGTCACTGGACAGACATCCAGGTGAAAGGGACCTCCTTACCTCGCGCCCTGCACTGCTGGGACCGCAGCCTCCATGAGAGCAACAAAAATGGGAAAGCCCCTCTGAAAGGGTGCCCAATCCATCTGATTGACAGCTGCCCGTGGCCCCACTGTAACCCCTCCTGCCCTACCATCCGGGACCAGTTCACAGGGCAGGAGATGAACGTGATACAGTTCCTTATGCACATGGGCTTTGATGTCCAGAAGATGGCACAGCAGCAGGGCCTGGAGCCCAGTAAACTCCTGGGGATGCTGAGCAGTGGTAGCTAGGAGGGTCCAGCGTGAAGAGGTGGACTGACCAGATCAGGAGGAGCCTCTAAGTCCCTCTCCCAGCCCTGCTAGCCCCCTCTCAATCTCACACAGACATGCTTACATACACACATGCGCGCTCACTTGCACACTTAGGATGTGTCAAGAAAAAATGAATGGATTCTTGCTTACGCTATTGGACTAAATAACTCGTTACCTCTACACTCCGTGGCCCTGTCTTGGCCAGCCAGAAGCTCCTTCCACGTTACACAAGGTGGCCTGGTGCAGATGGCAGCAAAGCCATAAACCCCAGTGGTGAGAACCTTCCTCAGAGCTAAGAGGCTTTTACCCTTGCCATGAATTTTTCACATCACAGACTTACTACACGTGGTGAAAAAAAGCACTGGATTTCTTTGTCCAATTAGAAATGAAGGAACGATCACATGACTTCCTGGAGGTCTGCAAATCATAATGTAATACAACTACACCCAAGGACACATGCTAGGAATGGACGCTTATACTCAATTTACTTCTTTATTATTTTATAAGATGACTTTTTTATTACTTAATTTTTTTAAAAAATAAGCAAGAAATATAAAATTAATGATATTGTTTTGTAACATATTTTTTTTAAATAATGAAAAACCTCTTGCTACTTTGGCAATGTGGACATATTTATTTTAGTATGTAAATGATATTTATAAGAGCTGAATGGAGAACTGCTCACATGTCTTTGTAAAGTTGTAAATGCTGCTTTGTTGGATGGGTTTTCCTTGTGATTGCTTGTGTTTGGGAGAGGGCCGAGGGCAGTATTGACATTATTATAATTACTAGACTCCCATGTTTTCCTTGCTGTATGTTGTTATTGTTGCTTTTGGAACGGAAAGGCTGTAGCACGGTCCAAGCACAGGGCCTTCTGCTCGGACTCAGTCCTTCCCTGCCTCCCTACACAGCGCCCGCACCTGGAGGGGCACTGTGTGCAATGAACTCCGGTTACTGCTTCTCCACCCGGGTCACTGTCCTAGCAGGAGAGAGGGGAAGACGTTCCATGTGGGTGGATAGTCTGAATAAAGGGAGGGGAAATGAGGGGGGAAACCCCCCACCTTCCTTTCTCATCTTTTGGAGATGCATCCATAGCAGGAAATAGAATATCTGTTCCTTCTATAAAAACGGAAAGGAGCGTGTGTCTCTGTACAGTAAGTAGAAGTTAGCTACGTAATGGAAACTGGAGAACAATCAATGGCCAGTCCAATTCCTTCTTAAATTCACACAAAAGGCAAGCAAAACACTGGCAAAGTTGTGCTGAAATTCGAACAACTCAGCTGAATGGAGGCCACTAGTGGAGTTCCTCTAGGACCAGTGTGGGTCTCATTTTCAACAGTGAACGTGGTAGAAAAAAATCAAGAGTGTTCTAGTGAGATCTGCTGATCACACACAGTTAGGAGGCTTCATTACCACAGAAGACTGGAGTATGATGCAAGAAGAAACGGATGAGTGAGGACTGACCTAATCGACTTGATACAGTGTAATAGTACAAACTGTAACACTGCGCTGAAGGGCTAATAATGAGACTTGCTGCTGCAGTTTAGAAGATCACTTGGAAACAACAAAAGAAGAGAACAATCTAGATGCATTAAGCAACCACAAAATGAGTGAGACACTAATGTGACGTGGCCATGAAAAAGGAAAACTGCAATCCTAGGACAGAATATGCAAAGTATTTCCAGCAGAGATTACTGACACCATTGTGCAAGAATTAGTAAGACCTCTGAAATAGTGTGAACAGTTCTGGTCGCACATTTAAGATGCATCAATGAATTCAAATTAGAACCAGTGTAGAGAATGGCTACTAGAAACGCATCTCCAAATATCATGTGATTAGGCCTAAATTAAATTGCAATTTAGAGGAAACGCTAAGAATAAGAAAAGTAAATTAAAACATCAAACATAAAGATGATATTATCCATTCCTTTCTTCCTCTTAGTGGACCTTATTTGTTAATAGATGGTTACAATTCACGACTACATCCATTTAAGTTTAGTGTAGGACCCTAAAGGCCAATTCTGGTCACATCCCCCACGCTGACAGCACGCAGACAAATGGGCCAAAGGGAGATTCCTCTCTCGGACAGAACGCAGCCACCCTCCCTGCCCCTCTAGCACAGGAGACCTGCGCCTGGAGGGGGGAGTCTCCAAAGTGCTGGATGCTAGAGAGAGACTGTGGTACGGACCATGCAGAGCTGCCACAAATCAGAAGAGTTTTAGGGACTGCACTTGCCACCTACCAGCCTGGACTCCTGTGCAAAGACAGGCTCAATGACAATGTACGTTTACAACCAGTTAGAACAAGTTCAACTTGATCTGGACTAAGCAGCAGCTCTATCCAAGCAAAGTGTTTTTTTAAAGAAGGGAAGATGGAACAGAATACCTTCTCTGGACTCAAGATACAGAAACCTTGAGTGAAACAGCTCTTTGGCACCAGCATAAGAGGAAAGTGAGTAATTAGCACAGGAAAGAGGAAGAGCCGAAGTTAGGCTTCACACACGGCTGGAACCTGGAATGCAGTCAGCCCTGGATCTAACGAGGCAGAGTCCAGTAGACTGAAAGGAATAAAAAAATGAATGTGAAGAGTCACATGGAATGAGAAATTGCTGTAATAAAAGATAAAGTGTCTGAATTGTATGGTGCAGAACAAGTGTCGGAGAAGGGACACAGGAAAAGAAAGAGTAAAGTAAGAGGTATCTCAAACCCTTCATGTCTCTCACTCCTCTTGACTAAAAATGTTCAGAAAAATCAAGTACCAACTCCTGTCAGAAACTGGGCCATTTCTGACTGACTGTCCTTCTGCTAGCTGGACTGGAGTACTGTTGTAGCCTTGTTAGTCCAGGGAATATGTAAGGAGCAAGGTTTGTTTGGTAAGGACTTTTACCGGACCAACGTTATTACTTACCAGTAACATTACAAGTTAATCTCTGTAAAACAGAATGTAAATGAGGAGTACTGATGATTATCGCTGCTTGTTAACAGATCCCTTTCTTTTTGCTAGCACCTGCTGTTTACAGATGGAGAACAAACTGCTGCTTAAATCTTCCCCTCTTCTTTCCAGTAAGTGTCAGGTCTGGAGGGGCTTTTAACAGTTCCATTCTTCCACACTTTCTCACATCCTATTTATTCTTGGTTCCCTGTGGTATTCGGTGATCATTTGCTGCTAATGGTCCTTGTAACAGATCTGTTTCACTCCCTATCTGGTTCCAAGCTGCTGAGCATAACAAGAGCTTCACAATGCCATGGCCCAACTCTTTCTGGGAAGCTCAGCCCCTAAATGCCCCAGTATCAGATTTCACAGAGCCTGAGAAGATGCATAGATAGGTGTACTTGCCACCTATAATATGTATTTGAGCTACAAAACTGCTGTTTGCTCCAAAGACAAAAGCCAGTGGCTCTGCATTTCCCTTCAAGATCTATATGCACCAGGTCTGCCAGGCTATAGTCTTGTCCTCTGTAGAGAAGTTAAAATGAGTACTTTGTTGAGGAGGCAGACTTGCAGGGAAGGCTGGGGATTTCCACCTCAGGACATTTTGACCTGCCAATTGGTGCAATCTGCTACATTCTACATGCAAAAGAAAAATAAATTGCTCTTCTAATCTACCTGTGGGAGGCACAGCAATAGACCATTTACCAACATCCAAATGGGGTGTGAGTCCCACCAAAAGGCGGTGAATTCCACCCCTCCTGAGCTGCAGGCTAAGAGCCTCTTCCCCTTGTATCTAAGTTGTAGCCGCATCGGTCAAAAGGAATCAGAACTCATGGTAGAGGTGATATCTTTTATTAAACCAACTAGATTTTTGCAAAAACAAATTTATTTAAATGCAAGCTTTTGGGCACAACCACCCTTCTGCAGGCATAGGAGAAAAGATTGTAAAAGTTCTCTTGGGTAGAAATGAAAGTTCATATTTCATAGGAGAGCTGAAAGTGTGGTAAAATCTCCTGTTTGCAACAGTTCATCTTCTATGCAGATTAGACTCAGAGGAAAGTCGGACTAGTCTGTTTACCTCGAAGCTGTTCGGTGGTAAGCAGGATGTACTTATTGCATTTGTTTCCAGGCTCCCTCACCTCTTGTTCCCCAACTGTCCGATCAGTGATGCTATCGCCCTCTACTGACAAAACCTCTTCACTGACTCCCTTTCTGAAGAATTACCAGATTTGATAGAGTAAATACAGGTGCAACTTTTACCCAGACCCAACTCTGGGTAATCTAGAGTTCAGTTCTGAATAAGCAGATGCATGTCAATAAAGCACAGTGGAAATGATGACTATTAGTGATTATTAGCAGTGTTTGTTAAGTCCCTTCAAACAGTTTTTCAGTACAAGCTTAATGACTGGCCTGGTCTTCGGTGAGACTGATAACCAAATGGTGCTGCCTTGGCCTATTTCAAGGCTGAGACAAGTCCAGGCACTTGTACAAAACAGAGGGAAAGAGGTACTTAGCTGTGTCAGTCTGGAGTTAGGTAGAAGGCAGGCTAGACACATGCCTTGTAGACTAAACGAATCAGAGATGTGTCAGCATAAGACTGGAAGAAATGTTCTAGCACTTCACTGCTTCAGTAATAATGCAGTGTACTAAAAACGATGAAATATGCCCCTTTTCATGGGAGACATGAAAGTGCTCTTCTGCAGGTACCTGAAAGCCTAACAACACCTCTCCCAACTAGACAGTTGGTCCTGTAAAAGATACCATCAGAAAAGGCTTGCTCTTCATGTCTTTCCTGGACCATCATAGCTATAACAACAGTCCAACCCTTTTTCATGGGATGCTTGAGACGTGGTATTTGTTTCCTAAACATGTGAGAAAGTGCTCCCTGTCTGTTACTACAGATGCAGGTGGTAAATATTGTAGCTGAGCACTCTGCAGTAGAAGTATATTGGGGCAGGGGGCTCCTAAAAAGGGTTTATGTTGAGTTTTTGCCGTGAGTCTGGTTTCAAGTGCAATTAACCTACAGAACAGTTGCATCGATGCACCGCTAAACCTGTACAGGTGCAATCACAAAGAAACACCAAGCCAAGGTTACGGCTCCAAGTGAAATTCGCTCTGCCTTGTAGCACAGCCTGTACTTTACAGGATATGTTGCAATACAGATAGCAATACCCATTATGGCAGAAAGGCTCCTGGTGTCTTTGGTGTTGAGACTGCACCACAAAAGGTCAGGAGATGCAAACGCCTGGGTCCCAGCAGCATATTCACCTGGACCTGTCAAAACCTAAACGTCTGCATTCCCTGAGTTGTTGTAATGGTAACTATTAGGATGTAATGCTAAATGGACACTGATTACACTTAATGTCCTAAGGCAGTGGTTTTGAAATTGGGAAGGGTGGACTTAGAAAGAGAAAGTTCAAAGGTGGACTTAAAAGCAGAAAGGAAGAGCCCCCATTTAAAATCTCCAAAGCTACTTCATTGCTCTGCTTCAAATCCCTCCGTTCTTTGCCTACAGAATCTTTGACAAGGGCTAGGTTGCTCGCATGCTGAGATCTCTGCTTGTCTGGCAGACCAGGACTGTATCACTGTTTTCATGTGCTCCCCTCTCTGTCTGCATCCATCTGGCTCTTTGGATCAAGGGCTTTCTTTCCTGTTAATATTTGTACAGCTCCTGATCCAAAAGGAGCCTGCTTCCTTACGGGCATTTCTGCATTCTACAATAGTATACATTACAAGTAACCAGTATAAGCAGTTGCTCCTGTCACCTCAGGGAGTTGTTTGCCAGAGGCATGGGAGATGATCCTAAGACGCTGTCATGTGATGAAGTCTGGAAACCCCTGTTCTACAGTTCTGCTTCAGGAGCTCACACGGGCTTCACCAGCACAAGTGGTAAATGCTTTGATGCAACCAATATGCTTTTACTGAAGAGGGCCCTGATCCTGTAGCTCAGATCTTCAGTGACATGGACTCAGGCATCCAAGCAGAGCTTCTCCGTACGCTTGGTTCTTTGCACAGTCCCACTCACACAGATCCAGAGTCAGGGCCTAGCTCCGTGCACACCCCGTACTTTTGCAGTACACAAAAGCATACTGCACTAGCTCTTCCTGACGAGGGTATCCACACCAAGCCTCGCCCCCTGCCCATTCATTGCCTGGCTGTGGCACTATCTGAAACATCAGATAAGGGTTTCTGTGCACTCTCCCTCTCTTCCATCACTCTGTTGCTTCAGGGATTTACTAATACTCAGACTTCCAAAAATTAACATTAAAATAATCTACCTTTAAATCTCTACATGCCAAATGTACCAAAAATTATTAGGGGAGAGTTCTGAGCCTGGGAAAATGGGTGATTAGAAGAGACTCTATTGAGATTTACCTGCAGGATCCTGGCCAACACCTGAAACCCTTCCTCCAAAGGGGATTAAGTAGAGAGATGAGAACAGAAGTTTACCCTGTTTTGACAACTGCTGTGCTTGCTGCTATCCAAAGCTGCTACAGTAAGAATATGGAGGGAGTAAGAGAACAGCAAAGCTGTTGTGTGAGATCTTAACAGCCAGAGCATTTCACTGGTGTCCAGGGCAGAGTGACAGCAGTGCCCTGTGCTGCCAAATACTGCCATGTCACTGTAGGATTAACTTCTTCCCCACCCCTGCCTCAGCTGCCCTAAAAAGAGGAAAATGAGAGATTTATCCTTACCCCTTTGCGTTACAAGAGTCCAATGTGCATATTAGACTACAGTAAGAATTGGCAGTGATATTCAGTGATGAGAAAATCCTGTCCCACAGATCACAGAACCAGGGGCCAAGAGCGGTAGTGATGGGCACCAGTGCAGTCAGTATCCCAGGGATCAGTGGGCAGGCAGAGGAAACCAGGACCAGCACAGATCAGAATGACATGGGAAAGATTTCGCATATGTGTTTGCTGCTGGCCTCTGCTGGTGAATGCATTCGTACCCAGGATCAAACACAGGAAGATGAATCGTGTTTGCCACCGGAGCACACCCCTGCTTCCCACAGCTTCTGCGATGCCACTGGATCCAAGAACCCATTAAGTGGTGCTGGGTTTGCAACACACCAGCCTGAGTTCCTGTCATGAATCTGGGCCTGGCCCCTTTCCCCCAGATGGCCTCTGCAGGGTGCTGTGAGTACTGACAGAAGGACTGTGCTTTCAGGGACATAAGGAACTACAGAAGAAATGCAGGCTGTTAATCAGCAGCCCCGATGGAGTCCACATATTGTAACTAACACCACCTCGCCACAGTTCCAGGGGTCAAAATTCATTCCATTCCAGGACTATTAATATAGCCTCCTATTTATATTCCTGGGTTCCTGCAATGCCAAGGCAGAAGAGCTACAGCTGCAGAGCTAAAGTGGAATAAATATCCAACCACCAAGGAGAAAGTGATCACTCTGGAGACGGCGTGGGAGAAGGGGCAGGGAAAGGACAGAATAAGAGTTTTCACAGAGCCTGGCAGCACAGAGCAAGCTGATCTCCGCAGCACCCTTGGAACTGCAGGCAGCAGACAGAACCAGTCTGTAACCTTCCTGCAAAAGGCAAGTCCACTCTGAAAGGCTGTCGAACATGCACTTTCAGCGTCATGTGCTGCACCTAGTGAAGATGCTGGCAAAGACATAGAGAGCAGATTCAGACCGCTTAGTCATCCAGTGCCAGGTGACGATTCAGGAGAGGAAGCCAAAAGGGAACCCGAAAGGAAGCTCTGAGGCGTCTGGGTACGTTGCTCCCACATTTGGAAAGATGATGATGGAGACCTCAGGAGGGACGTATCTGAACACAGCGGCAATGGCATCCCCAGTGGGAATAGCCCGCATACTGCAGGTAGTGTTTGGATGTACAACTTTCAGTCTGGTAATCCATCAGGGAGGATTCAGTGCAGCCTATGGCACCTTCTGCATGTTTGTCTGGTGCTTCTGTTTTGCTGTCACCATGTTTATAATAACCTGTGAGTTCACCCGTTTCCACAGCTGCCTGAACATCTCCTGGGGGAATTTCACTGCTGCTTTTGCCATGCTGGCCACACTCATGTCTGTCACGGCCGCGGTCATCTACCCACTTTATTTTGCCCAACTCAGGTGTTACCCTATCAGCTGTAAGGTGAGAGATTTCCGAGTAGCAGCCAGTGTCTTTGCAGGGCTCCTGTTTGTGACTTATGCTGTAGAGGTGTTTCTAACCAGGGCCAGACCAGGACAGGTGACCAGCTACATGGCCACAGTCTCTGGCCTCCTGAAAATTGTCCAGGCCTTTGTGGCTTGCATCATTTTTGGGGCGCTGGTAAATGACAGTCAGTACAGCAACTACGTGGCAACCCAGTGGTGTGTGGCTGTCTACAGCTTCTGCTTTGTGGTGACAGTGGTAGTAGTGGCCTTCAATGTCACAGGGAAAACAGCGACACTGTGGTGCCCCTTTGAGCGCTTTGTGGTCATCTACACGTTCATGGCCATCCTGATGTACGTCAGTGCAGCCGTCATCTGGCCGGTGTTCTGCTTTGACAGTAAGTACGGGTCTCCTGGGAGGCCTGACCAGTGCTCCAAGGGCCAGTGTCCCTGGGACAGCCAGCTGGTGATTGCCATATTTACTTATGTGAACCTGGTACTTTACACGGTGGACCTAGCGTACTCTCAGCGCATCCGTTTTGTTTCGCATCCTTAAAGTCCAGCACTGCTCCTGTAAAATCATTACAGCTCCAACAGCTACACAGACTTAAGCCCCAGCTGGAGACATGATGCAGGAGGGACCTGCTGATCAAGGCGTGCCAGTAAGCAAAACACGAACCAAACTTCAAGGCTAAGACTGGACCAACAAGTGAACAACATGTAATGGGTGGGCTGCAGATGACTGTGAAAAGACGACAATCTCCCCCATCCTTCAGCATCTGCCTCATCCACTTGGCACCACAGCAAGCAATAATACAGCTCCCACTGTGCAAAGCAGCCTTTCATCTCCACTGGGCATGAAAAGCTTGCCACAAAAGTGGACCCATAGGCTGCTGAACTATCAGGTCAAACGCTACGGGAAAGTTAGTGGGATCGAGGGAATGCTACCAACACAAAACTCTTTAAGTGACTGTGCCCAGGAAAAAGCGAGTTCTAAGATGCAGTCTGGACACCACCAGCTCCAGGAGAGATGGACCATTGTTTTGTGTCCTGGACATCTTGTAATATTTCTGTTATTGTTTGTAAGTGAGAGAGATCCTTGCCAGAATGTTTAAGGAAGAAGTGTGCTACAGGATTTGAAGACCAGGATGTCATTTCCCGAGTTCAGTGGAGTGACCACAGCTCTCCAACTTATCACCTGCGGTTCTTCACAGAAAATATTAGGTTTTTTTCTGCATGCACTGAATATGTTTTTTCCTGCAATCATGAATAATGCAAAATCTGCAGCTACTCACAGGTTACATGTTGCATTTTTTCCTTTAACTGAAATGGTTGTATTTGTTGAAGTGCAGAAAGAAATAAAATGACTCAAGCCACCAATGTAGGTACGAGTGCTGCCATGCTGACCAGTGCTGAATATGTTTTGAACATGAATTAAAACTATGAATTAGCAGATTCAACAAACAAAAGTTTAAGCTTAGATTCTCATATGCACTTTCAACTAATACACTCAGCTATCCCGGAGAAATGTGTTTGCTGCTCAGCTGGGGGTGCAGTTAATGCTGACTGCTCATGTGAGTCTGGAGCTGGTCAGGGCTAAATGTCACTGGTTTGGAGCATGGAATATGAACACTTTTGTGCAGGTGCCTGGTAGACAAGGGTTGGGTAGGGTGGATATATTTCAGTTCAGAACAGACTGGGCCAGGACTGAAGTGAAAGTCACTGTCACAGCTCTGTAATTCTGGGGTGTGGTGATCCAAGGCCTCTAAATAGCACTTCTAATTTGAACTCATTATTTCCTCCCACAGAGCCGTAGGACAGTTATGCATGGATGTAAATGGGTGCTTTATAGGTCACTGTCTGTGTAAACTGATGTTAAGAGCTTATGCACTTCAGCAAAGTAAAGCAGTGTTCTGTTAAAATAAAAAAAAAAGAGGACACAGAGATGGGCTAGTCCTACTCAGCTGCTCTGGGGCCCTGTTGGCTGCAGGCGCGTTGACTATGTAGAACATCAGCCTCATTAAACCAATGTGAGCAAAATTTAAAAGGATCCAGTGGAGTGCCTCGAACCAAATCAGACCCCAGGACCCCTTAACTCTCTATCCTGCTAACCACACAACCCTGAGGAAACGCCTCTCTGAATCAGGAATTCAGGTTTATTTCCAGCTGAAACTATTCCTCAGTCAAGGGATTTCCCAATCCAGTAAGAGACAAAGCAGTGTATTTATTCAGATTCATGTGTAGGTTGGATAGGATGTTTGGTCAGAATCCAGAAAAGAAAAGGCAAATTGTCATAAATAACCATGCTTTTATCTAGTTTGAATAGAGCCAAACAGTGGCCTTACACCTCCCATTCACTCCCACCTTCCTCTCTTTACAACTTTCCCTGCCCCATCAAAAGACCACCACACACGCATCTTCCCCATTCCCAGAAAACAGTGACTGGTTTTCTTTTTAATATGTAAGCTGTGCGCAATCCAACACAGCTCAGCAGGAGTGAAGACCCTGACCATTACGGCTTGAGGAAGATCTCACAAGATACTGAAAACAGAAGGAAGGGAAGGAGGTAGAAACTCAGGGTGACTCAGTGTAGGATGAGCCTGGGCAGCAGAGGAAAAGCTACTTGAGGGCAAGAGGCGATGATGAGGAGCTCTATTGCTTTCTCTTCACATCCCAAGTAACCAAATGAGTTGGGAATTACATGAACCAGTTAAAAAAATAAAAAAATCTTCCCAAAAGCTTCCTACTGCACACGCTGAATGGGCTCTAGCTCCTACCTCCACGCCCCCAACCCGCACCCTCCCAAGCACTGCATTAATAAACAAACACTGTGTCTGCAAGAGCAGCTTACTTATTGCACTTTCAATAAAAGGGCTATTAGTCATGGTACAAAAAATATTTATTAAAGCAATATTAACAGCCATTAACTTGCACTTTTAAAAATACAGTTCCCTCCTCTGCCCATAAAACCACTGCCTATGCCCCATCTGGCTGGGGTTCACTATAGTTTTTATTAAGCTTTTTCCTTTGCTTTTATTGTTTGTGGATGCATTTGACCTAGAAGCCAAGAAAAGGGGGAAGTTGTCTAGGAAGGAATCACTGGTTTGCCTTGCAGAAAAGGGCACATGCACCTAGGACTCTCTCTTTAAGAATGTCTCTGTGAAGAATCTGCAGTGGCTATAAAAGGCCTGGCTGGAGCCCAGGGAACCAGTCATCAGTGACAGGTGTCCAGCAGGCAGGAACTGTTTGTTGCTGGAGATGACATTACCCAGCACTTCATGCAGTGAGCCTCGAGGCTCCCAGCCAGGGCCATTCTCTCTGCTTGGCTGTTTTTGCTGTTAGCCTTTTCACTGTGAGAATGGGAAAATCTGACCATGAAATAAAGTGATGCAGATTGCACGAGCTGGGGAGGATCGTATGGAAGCAGAGAAGAGCAGAACAGAATGTGGTACTGGTAAGCATGAAGGCAGGTGATGGCTGGTACCAACTGGACACAGAAACCATTTCACCTGGGACAAGAGCTAGGGCCTGAATCAGGTCATGTCTCAGGAAGAGTGTGGGCACTGTGCCCAGCCACCCAAACAGAAAATAAAACAGTCTGGTGGATGCAAGGGTGATGAATATGGATCTGAATGCCACAGTGGTCTTTCTGCATAGGGTTGATTGGAAGGGAGATAAGCCCATTTCAGCATATGCTCCAAAGTTATGTGGTGTGTGAGAGTCATTAAGGCTAAATGGGTCTAACAGCCAAATATGAGGCACATAGGAGGAGTGTTTCCTTACCTGGCACAGGCGACTGACTGGAAAAAGCTGGACTCAGGAAAAATAGACTCACACCGATTGCCTGTAACAAAAGACATCAAACAACATGGTCACTGGTCTCGCCCTCACAATGGGACTTTACAAAAAAGGAGTGTCCTTCAGGGCAGGAAAAGACAAGAGGACAGACTCTCTTGGAGGGCAGGAGAAACCAGGCTGCATCCCAACAGCTACAGGACTTATGATCCAGAGGGACTCTCATGTAAATTCCTTTGTAGCAAAACCTATGATTAGATGAATTCAGACACGCGTGAATGTTGTTTAGTTTACAATCCTTTTCTCAAATACTCTGTTTCCTTTGCTAAGTAAACCTGCTTGTTTAAGAAGGCTGTTTCTGACCGTATGGCACTCATCACGGGTGAGCAGTTCTGTCTATACTATAGGGTAGCAGGGAGCCGGCACAGACAGGGGTGTTTTACCAAGACCTCAGTTTAATAATGAGAGAACTGCAGAATTCCAGCCCAAGCCGGGCAAGAGCAGGAGACCTAGCTCCCGAAGACCGCACTCAGAGACCAGAAAGGGGACTGAGGTACAAGCAGCACCTTAACAGGGACAGAGAAAGAGACTAAGGTGGAAACCATGACTCTAGATTAATGAAGGCAAGTCTTTACTGAGGAAAATACATTCATATTTAGCTGCTTTCTATGCCAGCTTGAGAAGGGGAACAAAATAGAGAGAGATATCAGGGTGGCAGAAGAGAAGATGGATGGCTGCAGATAACAATTTTTTGGAAGCAATATTAAACATTATATTTCAGGGATTAAGACCATCTCTAAACACTGGAGATTATGAGAATACCTAATGTGAGGCAAATTATGACCACATGCCTCACCTTACTGAGAGACATCTTTTGCTGGCCACTCACCGAGATGGGCCAGTGGACCAAATGGGCTGCAACCCCACACATGAGCTAAAAAACAGTAGGGGCCAAATCTGGTTCAGAGGCTGCAGCCTGTCATCATATATCCTTAAACCCAGAGGTGACAACCTGGATAACCTAGTCTGACTTCCAGGACAGCCTGAACCTCCAAATTGCAGCGATTCCTACATGGAGCGTGCAACTCCCGACTGGCCTACTACACAACCTCCAGAAAACTACCCAGTCTTCCTTTAAAGTCTTGAAGAGATGGAGCGGTACCTTATTGGCTCCAGTGAAGACAGGTAGTTAGCTGCATTACCTGGAAGTTAGGCAGAAGACAGGACAGTATAATATGACACCTTATAGACTAACTCATTCAGAAAGGCACAAGCTTTCAGGCTGCGCTCTGTTTGTGTTTGTGCGCGTGCATGTGTTACAACTATGAGCAGGATGGGAACACTGCCTCCTCACAGGTTACTTCCAAAGTTCTTGGTCTCCTGAAGAAAAACGTTATACTCTATTTCTGCAGACATTTCCTTTGAGGACGTTCAAAGCAGTGGGAAAGTACATGCCTCCTAGGCACTGAGTGAGCACTGCTGCTGCCACAGCAAGAACATGCAACAGGATGACCTTTTACTCAAAGAAGTCTGACAAGTTCCTGTTCCTATGCCTGTGCTCCTCCTGCATGGTTTCCTTACCTTTGTTTCAGCCTCATAAATCTGAGGCTTGGGAAGATTTCCCATAGGCACCTATAACCTTGGTAGACAGCAACCCGTTTCCTGGGCTGTGAAATCTCCCAGTTAGGTAACAACAGGTAGGTGAACTCTCTTGGTTCAGGGGAGCTTCTTCTTCCAAAGAAGAGAAAACAGCTTTAATTCAAAGCATCAGTAGATGACATGAGAGTCACTGTGCTGCAGGCAAAAACCTAAGTGGGCGGAAAAAAGAACCCCCCTAACACCTAAGAGAGCCTGATCCACCCTCTTTTTCCTCCTGCAGAGAGAGATGGAAGGAGTAAGAGCAGAAGTTACTCAACACAAAGGACAAAAAGAAAGGACCTAGATGGGGGGAAAGGAGTAAGGAAATACATGAGGATTATTTAGCACAGCCCTTTCCCCCATCTGCTGAGGCTCTTACATCCTCTTCCCCATTTGACAAGCTCAGCGATTCCCCGAGTATGCCACACACATTCCTGTCACAGAAGATGCTGCAGCAGCAGGATTCCACGGCAGCATCTCACAAAAGGACACCGAAGCATCCGGGGAATGCTTGGAATCAACAGATGGGAAAGGCCACTTTAGAGTCAGTTCTGCCTCAACAATGGCCCCAGCTCTGCTTTGTGAAAGGACAAAAGTCATACCCACCACCTCTCTGCTCGTTCCCTCGCAATTTCTAATAAATTCCAGCCCTGCTTTCCGGGAAGCCGGCTGTCTTGGGGAACAAAGCTATTTCAGTGGTTGATTTCTCTGTCCAGTGCAATCTCCTGAGAGGCCCGCGCATACCCACCTCTCCCCCACCCCCCAAACCCAGAAATTCCAGTGCAGCAATCCAAACTGCAGCACCTCCGGTCGTTCTTTGCAGACCTTCATGCCGTGCGCACTGCGTGTACGGCGACATCAATGCAGACAGTCACTTACTGCATGAACACCTGTCGCCCCCCCACATGGTTTGAGTAAAAGGAGCAGCCCTTGTCACCTTGATCCTCGCCTGCTCCCAATCAGGCAGCTCAAGTTTTCCAGCGGGGGGGTCACAAGTCATGAAACCCCAACAGGGGCTATGGCAGAGCCATGGATGCAACAGCAGTGAGGCCCAGGAGCCAACAGCTGGGCGCCGAGGGAGATGTGAACCATGAGCTCCTCCCATGCGAGCAGGAAGTACCGCAAACCCACGCAGAACTCCTGCTCCTGCTCCTGCTCCTGCTCAGGAAGAGCCCGGCCCTGCCCCAAGTCTCTCCACCTCCTGCC